CATGAAGCCCGGCTTTCTGCACCATGGACCGAGGATAATTAGCTTGTTTTCCCCTTCATCTTCGTCTGGGAAAGGGTATTGCGCTGATTCGGACTTGTGTCACATCGCCGCTGAACAGATCATCTCTGTGGTTAGCATGTCAGCTACTTAGGATTTTCCAAGTGATAGATTTATTTTGTGACATGAAAGAGCCGAGGATTAAATATATATTCGGCCATCGGAATGGTTGGCATGAGGAGTAGGTTTTGTCCAATGATTCGAGGAGGGTAGTTTGCCCAGTCCAAGAATTAGCAAGACTTACAGAACAGGTAGGTTCAATTAGCAATTTACTGGGAGGTCATCTAGTCAGACTCAGATATCCGAGTAGCACACTTAGACTTGAACGGTTTTAGGGGCATGACAAATCCTTCGAGGTGGAGCAGTGATATCAAGATCAATCCTTTGTGCTGCGAGCACCCGGTTGCGTCTGAAAGAGTTTCGCAGAATACTGGAAGTTTGGCCGTAAATTGTATGATTGCACCTGGAATATTGTGGGCACTGAGGCCGAGCGTCGAAGTGCTGCCTTACGTGCTCATGATATGTCACCAAGTGTAGATGTATGAGTAGCGAACTTGAATGGATCGTCTTGGTGACCTGAGAACGCAGCTTGAGGCACCAGAGGTCTTGAATAACTCCTTGTAAGGCACTCAGATGTTCAGTTGGGGGTAGTGTAGCATCATACCGAGAGAAGTTAGCATTATTCATATGGTATATCTGCTGGCATATCTCTTTTGGAGTGCTTCGTCGAGGTAGTCATTCTGACACCGTGTAATAAAGGACTTAAACAGATATTTCTCGTGCTGCCATTGAAATTGCTGGTCCAACCTGCTTGATGGCGGACGGGGGGCTGTTGCCTATTTGCGAGGCAGGTCCATAACCTCGGGGTGCAATCTCCTTCGATCTTCAAGAGGTGTTAGCGCTAGCACTCTCGCTCTTAAGGACCCTATTACTAGTAGCTCCCTTCATGTTTGAACGTCTGAAGACTGTCATTTGTTGGACAAACTTCCTTAGTGGAGGTCTCTTTAGCGGTCCGATAGGGCCGCCACCCATGCGGGGTACGGCGACCGCCCAAAAACGGCTGAGAGCCAGGTTCAATTGAGTGAACACCGGCCGTGTCTGGAGGAGAGGATCTGGGATGAACATGGCCATGTATGGCCGTCATGCTTTTATTGAGTAGCCTGTCATTTGACTGTACTATCTGGAGCAAGGTTAATACAGCAACTTGAATCTTTGTAATTTATTAGCAGCCTCGTTATGTACGGCGGGATCCTTGTATGGAAAGCTCATCATCAGCCCATAATATGTATGTGTAGTGGACGGAGTTTGTATCCTGCAGGCCATATTTTCCAGCATACAACTAACTGCAGAGCTCGCTTTGGAGTTTGCGAAGCACTATATGGTTGCTTGGCATGCAGTGGCCGCAGCGCCGGGTAGAACCGCGCATTGTGACCGTATACCATGGCTCGCAGGTCAATTGGTTCCGCTACGCTATCAGATCGTGAAGAGTTTAATGCCTTGAAATTACGGCCATTGGGTTACGACTGTCCTACGGCTCGGTCAGACGATTGCCAGGCGCTTAGCCGGCCCTGGGTGTTGTCCGTCCTGCCGTATATTTTCTGCTTATATTTTGGTATAGTGCCAAGCTGTAGCGTCGTGGAGGGTTCAAAGTCATGATAATATAGGCCCATCTCTACGGCCGACAACCCATGTGTTTTGGTGTGTAGACCTACTGGGCACTACCACACTGGTGGGGCTCTAGGACATAAAGTCCATAAGAAACGGCAGCTGGACACAGTTATGCCCTCGGGAGTCACGGAGCTAGTCCATGTCCTGTATATTGAATCTGACAGGACAGTGTTTCATAATGCAAGATAAACAGCATCAGCCGAAAGCGCTCGTATATGCAAGGAGAGGAGGGTCAACATTATTAGCATGTTAATTCATTCCTCGTATATGGAATAGATACGTACCGGGTTAGTGTTTCTGGTGGACTATCCTCGTGTCGTTCAGGATGTCTTCTTTCGAGCAGCAATTTTGGTGACGTGATTCCGAATATTCAGCATGCTCGTACCGCGGGGTTTGTAATTCTTTACTTCATAGCCATTAGCTGATTGGACGTGATATTATAACACACATTCGGGGGGTAACAATGTCACATTCAAGGCACAGAATAGCGCAGTGGTACATGGCTTTAGCACATAGCCTAGCAAGAAGTGTAATAGTATGCAGCTGGGTGATTTACCGATGTCATGAACTCCGTTAAGGTATTACATGCAATCCAGACCCGCATTTGAGCCTTCATTCCCAATCAAGCCGCGAGGGATGTCGAATCAGCCATCATAGAATGCGCTCCAACGTGAGGGAGAAACATAACAGGCAGTTATAGGACGAGGGGCATAGCTTAGTGAGAACTAGAAGGCTAGTCGAGAGAGAGAAAATAGGTAGGGGGGTAATAGGGGAGTAGCAAGCGAGCAGCTGAAGCAATAGCGAACCTTCAATGGTGTTTGCGCGGCAGCATTAGCAATGATATCAGATCAGCAATGGAATAGCCCACCTGCAAGAGGAACGGCCAATTCGCAGTCACATCAGCAGTCGCGCAAGCAGCACGAGCCGGGGGAAGGCCCTAGGAAATAGTAAATAGCAGACTGTCAGGGGATAACCGACCCAGCGTAGCGCCAGCAGCTGAGCAAAGCTTCAGGCAACAACAACAGCAGACAGCGAGGATACTGGCGAGAGGGATACCCAACTCGCTGTAGCAGCAGCAGAAGCAGCAGCAGGGCAAGGCCCTAAGGAAATAGTGAACAGCGTAGCAAACAGCATAGCAAATGGTGGGAACAGCGCAGCAGACTGGATAGCGAGGCGGCGGCGGCGGGTGGACGTAACATGCAGGCCGAGTTGCAGGATCTAGGTGACATGCCGATCGATAGTAGTGAATCGAAGCTTGCGTTGGCGGAAGGGCGAATGATGTCGAGGGGCGACTCTCGGGATGAGAGAACAGTCAGGGGTTGAGTTGTGATCGCCGCCGCAGGCGTAGCTCAGATGGGTAAAACAGCCAACGTCGATGGGCGTTGAATCAATTCGCGACGCTCTCGAGACACCGTCGCCACGTGTATCTGGAAAGAACGAGATAATACTGATTTAGTTGAGGAAGTCAATCACACACCTCGTATGCTGCGTTATAGGTCTACCACCATTGTCCTTCGCTCTTTTCTCGGCCCTATTTTGTGTAGCCGCCATTTTGGAAGAGGTCTTGAGATTCAATTTTGTGGCTAGCAAGCTGAGCAGAGTGCCAGCTGGCACCCGGAAGATAGGAAGCATCGGTGAAAGAGACATATTTGCAGACTTCCATACTGCGAGAATCTCAGAAACGAGATTTTGAAGCACTCAACGCGGCCATTGAGGGGCGGCATTGAGGCTGAGCAAGCCTTCGAGGCGAGATGGTGGTGGCACGAAGCAGAGAGCGTCACGTGCCGCCCGCCACTCGCTCGAAGACTTAGTTCTATCCTTTCATTCGTTCCTCACTTCACTTTAGAACCGCAATTTCTGTCGTGAGAGGGAGCTTCGAATTCAGTGAGGAAGGGAATCGGCCATCGCCGGATGATTGTTCTCACGGGTGGAATGCCCGCGGGCCGGTGGGCATTTGCGAGTTAGTACTACATACTCTGAAAAACGACAGAAGAAATAAATAAAACCCCAGAAATTATAGATTTATCATATGTCATCCAGTCCGCCTTCGATCTTCTAATTATCCTCTCGCTCAGTGACTGCTTCGCATAAGGCCCCCGGTGTACATGCAAGGCCCGTCATTCAATGGATTCCAGCTCCGTTATTAGTGGATCATGGAGTGGTATTATCACTATTTTGGATACCAACTGATAGGTTGAAGGAGGAAATTTAAGAAACTATTGCCCAGCCTGAAGGAATGTGAAGGAGGCATAATGAATGCCGATGCCATGAAGAACGGTGAAAGATGCACCCCGCAGGGATGGTGTCCAGATCCTGGGTTCGGATTCGCCCGTAGTCTCTGATCAATCCCCGCTTCAGAAGATAAACACGTCAACAGCGAGTAAATTTAACATTAGACAGTCGTGTGACCGCACCGAAACAAAGAGGGTAAAGCCCGCAGCGCAAGGAAAGGCTGGGCGTCATGACATACCTCTCCCAGAGCAAACGGGGACCCACGATACCTTTTAATTATCTTGAACTGGAATACTGCTTCATCGGAGTAATGTGTCAAAAAAATATAGACGAGTCAAAGACGGTCATGGAGCATGATCGCGTCAAGAGCACATGTCGGGCACATCGATCGTGATTGCTCCTGATACCGGGTCTAGAGTGTACGTCCCGGCTATGTCTTTACAATTCACAAGCAGGCGAAATGCTGAGAATAAGAGACTGTGTATGCGGATCCTGAGATAGATGAACCAGGGCTAGCGGATAAGTAGTCAAAAGCCTCGTTGTATCTAATCTGAATGCCGTGATGATCAGTATACAAACGAGCCGTAGGGTATAGGGCTACAAAGTAACAGTGTGCCTTCCATTCAGAATTTGATTGTAGCAGCCGCAAATGAAACGAACTCGAGGATTCGTCACTAAAGAATAAAGGAAGCTCTATGTCCGCTCATAGGACCCGCGCTAGAGGAAGAAATTTCATGGAGTGGGGACCACCTAGTCATGGATAACTGATCATGCAATAATACCTCAAACTTGAGCCACGGATGCGGCAGCATTGAGAGCTGCTTTACCAGCCGTGCAGTGTTATCTGCATATCACGTGGGGATTTGCGCCACCCATACCTTTTTAGGGCAATTAATGGTACGCTGCAAAATTCATGCTTTCCGCCGCCTGAGCATCTTCTCTTTCATTTATCGCGCTGTGAGCACTATGGGTGAAGGACGGGGATAACGTGTGCGTCGCAATTGGATTTACGTCTAGAATTAACGGAAGTATCTGCGAAACTTTCAGTTGTCTCCTTCATTGGAACTGAGGTCAGCAATTGTCCTTGGTGTCCAGCTCTCCTCCTGCACGGAGGACACAACGTTGATAACCAAGTTCAGCCTCTTATTCGTCGACGCAGAGGGGAGCGCTGCCTTGAGGAGCGTCTTGATGCGCTTTCGGAGGAAGAAATTCTCAGCACCCTTGTTCGTCGCCGACTTTCCGAAATGGAGAGTCAAAATCAATCTATGAATGGCATGGAAGGAAGGCGTGGAGAGGGTCGCGTCTAGATATGCCCACTGATGGCCGAGGAAAGAATCAAGGAAGAGGCCCGGGGTGTTATTCTCGCCTTCCAGGATAACAACGAGTTCGAGTGTAAGAAGGGAAGGTGGTAGTCTGATGGTGCATAGCATAAGGACGATGTCGTCGAGGGCAGTGCCAGGTCCAGCCGATAAGGTCAGGCCACCATTATGGTATAAACACAAATGACGTAAATTGGAGTGACGAGTGAGATCGAAGAGATGTTCAGGTGCCAGAGGAGTTTCAATCACTATCATGCGAATACGTCAGGCTGCTGTAAGATTTGTTGAAAAAAGAAAAATACCATAGTAATGTAGAGTTAGATGTTCGAGTGTGTCTTCTATCCGAGAAAGGATTCCCATTACGTCGTCGAAATCAGGAGCTACTAAAACTGTAAGTGAAACAGTGCGCAGATGGGCGAACGAAGACGAGCAGGCGTCAGACCGCGCTATCGATTTCACATGGTCGGGGTTCTCGAAATACGTCAAAGGAAGCTCGTGGTCCGTGTCCAGGGACTCTAATCGTGGGTAATGAGACGGTCTGACAGACGAGACGGGCGGATAGACAACGATTTCTTCTGCTGCCATACATTCGTAGAGATGGAGGTGCTTGATGTGACTGTTGACGAGGAAGTTTGTGGGCAGGCCGTTAATGTTGCATATACGTAGATATCGCAGGCGCGGCGAGCGAACGAGCGCAAGGAACGCGTGTCGAAGATTGTCGCTGAGACACGCATAGTTGATGCTTTGCCAATGGAGAAACAAGACGAACTTGGTGATTCCATGGTCGGGGCCGTGCAGCTCATTCAGAATTGAAGTCAAGGTCCCAGCCTTGTCATATTCCAGCATGACGTGATCGACGCCTTTCTCCGTGTTTGAGAGATGGAAAGCGAACTCCTTGACATATTGTGTCAACCGGCCGATCCCTGATCGACCAGACTGCAGAGTCGCCGCGGATGACCACGACAAGAGTTTGTGAAGGCTTGAGAGTCGACTAGAGATATCGGGGTTGAGGTCGTCATGGAGTTTGATTTTTCGAAATAGGTGATGTCGAGCTCGATGCGAGAAGGATCGCGAAACGTAGGTGCATGCGTAGAGGGCGTCGCGTCGTGTCGTATCGCTTTCTGATTGTTCCGCTAGGGAATCGATAAAGAGGTCTACCAGCTCTTGAGGAAAACGCGATATCATTGTGTCCCTATTATTCGCCGTCACCTTGAAGGAGGATTATAGAGAAAGGAGTAACAGTGGTGTGAGTGATGGTGCAAGGCGCAAAAGAAAACTTGTCGCAGCCTGAAGGTCAGTGGCAGTGCACTTGAGATAAGATATTGACTGGGGACGGGATGTACAACCAATCTCGTCACTTAGGGATGTTACCCTCGCTCTCCCCAAGCCGCAGGCCCGATAGCGTCCGGAATTGCAAAAGCTTATTGTCTCGAACACGATTTACATTCGACTATCCATTTGACTTCTTGATTTCTGGATGTTTTCTCCTGAATCCTGATTCTCTCCCTACTTCGACCCACCGAAGATTGTCGCAAAAGTAGTGCTTTGGAAGCTGATATAATTCTTAGAATTAGGATAGAACGACGTAGTTAAGCCAGACATACCCAATGTTTGCTCGACCAGGGTCAATGAAAGTGACATATCCGCGATTATCCTTCGCTCCTAAGTTTTCCTCGAAGAACTTGGCAAATGCCTTGGTGTACCTGTCATTCGCCTCGGGATTGATATTATCAAGACTATCCTGAGTGAAGGATACTTGTTCAATACCAATCGTCGGACAAAAAAGCGTGGTGCATACAATCCTCAAGCTGAAAGCAGGATCGAAGGTTCCGGCGAATGTGAGGGTCTCATTGTAGCTGATGATAACTGAGATGTAAGCCTCTGGCTTTCCCAGAGTCTCAGCACCGAACTATATGCGCCAGAGGAACTTTGTTAATGCTAGACGACTCTCAGTTGAGTGTGGATCTGCTCGCCTTCGAGAACTTAAGGGCAAAAGCTTTCGCGTCCGGGATCTTGTGCCTGTAGTAGCCAAACCATCTTCAAGCTCGAGGCCAAACAGGGCGTACCTTGACGTTGGTGACCAGGTTGAGAGTAGGCATGATTTTGTGCTCCTGGAGAAGATGGATGTCAGCCTGTGAGACTCAGAGGCAGCGGCCCGATAACGATTTACTAAGACTGAGACCACCTGATCACGCAATTGGGTTATCCGATTGCAGAGTCGCTCTATTTTAGGGGTCAAAATTAACATGAAGGCGAAGAGAGCCCACAATGAGCATATCCTAAAGGCTGTCAGAACATTAATAAACCTAGTATATCCAGATCCAACGATGTGTGGGCCACGAAAAAAAAAATCAATCATTGGCCTAATGAGGCCCCCTTCAATGCCTTTCGGTTTGGCCTGCCTGACGACGAAGCCCGAGATGGGTTCCTTGAAGGAGTGTCGACCGGAGTTGAAGACTTGTTCCTTTTCGACAGTGGTTCATCGTCATCGTCCTCCTCATCATCAGAATTGTCACATACAGGTGCCTGACGTTTTAGCGACGAGGATGTCGTGTTTGTGGACGAAAACAGCGTCGTCCCTGTTGCCTTGGTGTTGGGAGGAAGGCGGGAGACAAAAATGCTCTCCCGCCGCGCGTCTGACCATTCGTCGGCGGGCGAATTCAGAGCATTCTTGAAAAGGTTTGTGAAGTGAGCATGGCTAGACAGGGTGATGCTAGGAGGTGGCAGCGGTATTGGTACATCCTGCTCAGGTGTGTCCGGATTCTCTCTCTTGTACCTTTGCACTGCAACCAGTACAAACATATAGAAGTCTTGCAAGGAGTATAGTGCATTGCGAATCCAGGTTGTCAATGGGGCGTTAGAAGTGACAATGAACTTGTCGAGGATGGCCTCCTTCAGGAACATATTTTGCTTTCCATCCCCACCAACGTACTGGCCAGGATATGGCTCGTAGGTGCATTGGTCAAAGACACGGAGAATGATTCGCTCCACATCTTCCTTGGTCTTGTTGTGGAACAAGTATTGAAGGGCATGGTACAGGATGACGTGGAAAAAAGACTCCAGATCGTCCTGAACGGTATGAAGCTTGCGAGGCAGTTGGAGGAGCAATGCTGACATATAGTACCAAGTTCCCTGTGATCCTCATCATCAGCAGCTAGCAGCGAAAGAATTGGCATGATAATCACAGTGCGATATGGGTGCCGGCGGCTGCCTTCCTTCGGTTTCGGGGGTTCCTCGCCCGGGATTCCGACTTTCTTCGCTAGATCCCAGTCATTCAGAATACCTTTCCCATCTGCCGTCATCATAACGTTGTTCTCGCTGACGTCGCGGTGAAGAATTCCGCACAGGTTCAGTGCATCATCATGAGCTAGGATTGGTGTTCAGAAAGAGAAGATGCCAAATGGAAGGAAGAGTAAGCGTACCGTCGAAAGCGTCCGACACGACTTGTAGTAGTTGCTTGGCATCCTTGAAGGTGCATAGATGCTTTCCAACAAAGTCCTCAAGGAACCGGTGATGTGTGCGTGTGACCAGGTCCGCAACACGGCCAGCCCTCCACGACTCTTTCACATAGTTCTGAGACAAGGTGGTTTGGAAAGTGCCGGGAACATCGTCTCCGGCTACAATGTTAGGAATGTTGCGAACTTTCTTCTCCTTGAGCTCTTTGAGAATATCTGACTCCTTCTCCATTCCATCTACGTTGGCACGCCACGTATCCTTGAGGAACATCACGGTGGCGGTGTTGAGGTCATAAACAGGAAACGCACGGGTTGCGCGTCCAGTGGGAGAGTCTGCCTCCGCGGGACCGTCCCTGCCAATGACCTCGCGTACGGTCCCGTCGCCGTTGTAAACTTCGAAAACGCGGAAATGGCGTACTTTATCATCCTGGGGAAGGTACTCCATGAGAGGTTGGGCCTTGACAATTTCATCATCCGTAGCAAGTCGAACAGTCGGGTCAACACCACGTTGGACGTCAGTCATACGCGAGAAGCGCCAGAGAAACTCGGCCAACTTCTGTGAATCGGATCGGTAGTCGATGGCAGCCGTGACGATGATTGCACTGCGATCTGCTCGCAGGAAGCGAACTTCCTTATGGTTCATAAAAACCATGAAGGCATGAGTGCGATACTGGCGAGCACACATCTCAGCCAGGACGAGAGCGATTTGACCCCGAGCACGTCGCCCTTCCTTGCTGTCGTTTTCGAACTGGTGCTTAAGAAGTGCTTTGCCCTTGCAGTTTTCCGGTGGATCGACGAAAGGGATAGCGGAAGTCTTCAGCTCGAAGGGCAACTGGAGTTTGTCGAAGTGAGTCGTCTTCTTGTCCTCCGCATTTTCCATCATGCTGGCATCTGACGCCTTGTACACCGAGATGTCTGGTTTCCAGCGTTTATGCTCGCGGGACTGGTGGTCGTAGCGGTCGGACGTGTTGAAGAAGGTAAAGGATGGCATCAAAATGGGATTCTCAGCAAGTTGGATCTAAGAAGAGCAGCTTGTGAGCGGCAGACAGGCTCGGAACGGATGACTTCGTACCAGTGGGTCGTACATGTTCGGTTCTTTCCGCGGGATTTCGCCGAAATAATCGTCCGCGATGATGTTTTTTGGGAAAGGTGTACCGACATCCATGAAATCTTGAAAGAATTTATCGGGGTCGTACGGACCAACGTAGTGGCCTATAATCTCGCGCCACATATTGCTGCGAGCCTGGAGGTAGCCGATTTCGCGAAGAGCCGAGGGCACAGAAGTGGACTTCCGCTCAAGTGGAGTGCCTGTTAAGAGGGCTTGAGCCTGAGGATTCTTGGGGGGTGTTTTGAGAGACATGATAGCGTGGCAAACGAACCTGGACATATGGCCGTTTATATACAACCAGGGTATGCTGCGAAAGAGGCGGTCTTGGAAATTGTACGTGACCAGATTGACTGATTATCGATGGCCGAGGCAATGGACAATGGCGATGGGAAGGGTGATTGTGATAAGTACTGCGGCGGTAGCAAAGAGACCGAGTGCAGCAGAGTGCAACATGACGTCGCGGCCATGTGACTCAACGCATCAGGGCCGGTCAAAGCGCGCCTCCATTGTACCGCTGGAAATGATAAACAAACTTGAATTAATCATGAACGACTATGCTATGTAGTCGAGTACTGGGCGTGTCCTTGACCTCGGGAAAAACTGTGTGGGAAGTGCTTCTTGCTTTGCAATGAGAACCATTGATGTGCAGAATAATCCACAGTTCCTTGCACGAAGGCTTGCTGAAAGATTGTTCACTTTAAGTACTAGACAAAACTCCATCCCCTTAAAAACCATACTCTAGTAAGCCGGAACCTCGTTTGGTAAACCTCGTTCAGAGTGCATCTGGTAACGGTGTTCAGCCAGTAGACCATGAAGAAACGAGGAAGCAAGAGATCTAACCTGGAACAAATAGCCAGCCACAACAGCACCAACGGACAGGCACATGGACAGATCCCAGCCATCCCAGTGCTGTCCCAGTTTCTCGCAGCGGCGACCCTCATAGAACAATACCGAAAATCGCTCTTCGAGATACCTCTCTATTCTTTTCTCGAGGGGCCTTCGATACTTTTCGTTCCTGAAGATTTCCTCCAGCGAAGTCTCGGCTACTTCGACGACACTGAGGATGACAATCCGGCGGCAATATAAAACAAGCCTCTCGTGAAGTACTGGTCTATCCATGAAATGGGGTACACATTCAAGGGCGTAAAGGAATGCTAAGCGTTCCTCGTCTCTTCGGGATCCTGAAGGTTGCCTTTACGTAATTCGACGTCACATCAGCATGCAGGTTGAAAATTGTCATGAGAGGACACTCACTCGGATAAAACTATTTGGAAACCCCCCTTTCCAACGGAAACCCTGGGTTCCCAAATAACTTGCTCGGAAACCCGGTTTCTCAAACATGAATGGTCGTGCCTGTCCGGTGATGGCGACCGAATATGGTAACGCCCGCCGTCCATGGCATTGTCGGCTTTGCCTAAGTCGGTCCTGTAGGGGCTGTTACTGCCCTTCCGGCCAGCTTTTATACCTTTTGATAAATTAATTGCATATTCAGCTTTCATAAAGGCATCTTATTTAATATTCTGAGAAAGTATGAGACACGGGGCGCTGCTGTGTCAGTGAGGCGAGGCAGGCATTGCAGCCTCGGGACAGGAGGACTTGGTAAATGGTAAAGGGACGGTGGGCAGCATTGTCGTATATTGCTCTTTTTAATGTACTGTTTATTTGTGAAAAGAATCAGTATCCCTGTAGATATCTGAAAGCTCAAAGAGTCAAGTTCATGGCCACGAAGAAGTTGAGTCCGCCGAGACGAAACATTTTCCCTGGTATTGCAGCGCTCACACATCCATGACAAAGTGGTATTTAAGAATTTATTTTAGAGTGCCATAGCGAAGTTTTCTCTGCCTACACTCGTTCCCTGGGAGTGCAAACTTGCCGGGACCGGACACCGTTATCAAGGCATCACTCCTGCCGCCTGCAGTCGAGCTGTAGTGTCCAATGGCTCAAATCTCAGAGAACCCATTCATGTGCACTCATTTGGTTGATGACTGTTTTCTTAGCAATTGAGACGAAGGTTCTAGTGCTCCGTGGGCTCAAGCCCTTGCTTAATGGGCGTCGGCGTCAAATGGCGCTCGAGCGCTTCCTGCCATCGCCGGCCGCGCCTCCGGAGACAAAGCATGAACAAACATTCGACGAAAAGATGAATGTGGGGGGTTTCCACATCAATGACCGGAAACCCTGGGTTTCCGTTGGAAAGGGGGGTTTCCAAATAGTTTTATCCCACTCACAAAACATTGGTCAAGTATTCCAAGCATACACTAGCCGCATTCATCAGGCACGGTGGCGTAAGTGCATACAGGCCAAAGATATCTGCCCTGCTAAACAATGTGAGCCAATTCGCGATAAGCTCGAAGCAAAACATCAATTCATCCGTGAAAGGGTTGGCGCTGGCGTTAGGCGAAACCGACAATGAGATTGGCAGAATGGCCATCAGGTTCTTGCGAAGACTCGATGGCGACAATATCTCATAAGGATAAGCAAACACGACGATGTCGATACCAGGATCGTTATCAAATCCGTTGAATGGAAAATTCCGGAGTTTCAAAAGGACACACTCAACGAGCTTGCTGATTACCGGAGGTATGGGAAGTGTTCTTCCCAGAGATGGATGGGGTTCATCCTATGCGGGTCGAGGTCATATGTTTATCAGGCATGGGAGTGCCTACCTTCAATGAAAGTAGCATCAAGCCTACTACGCCGTCCGGCACCTTCGCATTGACTGTTGCTGGGTGTGTCGAAAGACTGTGCAACAGGGACTCAACATCGAGTTCGTTGAGGGCGTCATAGACATCAACAGACACAGCATCGTCCGAAATATGATACAAAAAGTGTTCGGGTCCACGAAGGCATGCCTCCCAGCAATCGTCGGAATCCATTGCGGGGTCTAGAGCAGAAATAGTCACGAGAGTTAGCCACGTCGTATGTCATGATAAACCAGCTTACACTTGGAAAAGAGCTGAAGACAGTCTCGAGCGAGGTTGGCATTCATGAAATTACTGTTGACAAAGAATTCCTTTGACCGATCTTTATCTAACAGGAAATCCTGAAACGACGCGTGATGAAAGTGAATCTCATCATAAGTATCGGCCTCGACAACGGATGCAAGATCACTAAGGAGTAACTCAACGACTCCTTCGCGAAGGTCCAAGAGGAATCTGGCAATTTTCATTGGCTGGTATATATCCACAGCGGGTTCAATGGATCGCATGAGGACGATGCGAAGTAAAGGGACGAGAATGGGCTGGTTCTCCACCGACAGAAGGATATGTCGGTACAGTGCATCCAGCTCAGCAAATGGAGGGTTTTTCTCGTCTTTCTTGAGACCTTGAACAACTTTCAGGCGCTCGCGGGGATCGTGACGCGTTGATTTGACGTAGTTGACAACAGTTGCCGCAAAGATAAATTGCCCAGAAGATTTGAGGACGAGACTCCTGATATCTTTCTCGGATGGCCAAGCATCTTCGATGAGTCCGGAAAGCGGATGTTTTTTCTTGATACCTGCGAAACTATCGACAAGGAAAAGGTGGATGTCGTCGTCTGGCTTCCAAGTGTTGTCTAAACACAGCTGCTTGAGACACGGAACTAGTTTCTCGTCGGAGAAGGCAGAACTTAGGCGTTGTTCGGGGCGGCTGACGATGATGACTTTCTGTGGCAAGTTGTGCTGCATCTGCCGGACAGCATCTGCGAACTGCTCGACAATGGTGCATTGAGCGTCTTGATTTATACATTCATCTAAACCATCGATGATGATCAACTTCGGGGAGGTCGATGCTGACAACGAAGATGAAGCTTGAGAAAGAGGTTGAAGGATTAATTCTTGAATTTGCTTCTCAATAGACAGGTCAAAGATCGAGGGATTGTGAGCAACGGCAGCCGCAATGAAGGAGTGTGTTTCACGAATGTTCATCGCAATTTGAAACGAAAGAGTAGCGATTAACTTCAGTTAATCGCCGTGAGCGGTATCGGCCCTCCTCGAGAAAAAGAAAGCCGCAGACAACCACCCTCGCGCCTGACAGGTCTCCACAATCATCTGCGCGATGGCGGATTTCCCAGCTCCTGCGGGTCCATAAAGCCACATAAGGAAAGCATCGCTGCTATCTTCAAGCCAGCGCAGGATCTCATTTCGAATTGCGAGTCTTGTCTCGGGATGACATCGTGGTCCGTCGGAGCGCTTGGCAGAATCGTGAAGTGCTCCTGATGCACTCTTCTCATACAATTTTTCTATTGCTGGGTGGAAAAAATGTTTCAAGCATGGATTTCATCAAAAGAAATAAGGAGCCATACCTAATGATTCCGATGTCCGGTTTTCTGTGTGGGTGAATACTCCACCAGTGATTAAAACATTGCGGCTGTTGGACAGCATCAGTCCAAGATACCCCACCAAATTCCAATCTGGAAACAGTGAGCAAAGATGTTATGACTGAGCTAGAGAGGATGTTCATACCGGCTGGCGATGTTTACAAAAGTTCAAGTTGCCGTTCAACGATGGGAGCTGACAAGCCTGACACGGATGACGATTCATACATATAGGGCAGAGTAACGTAATGCCTTCTAGATCTAGACACGAGACCCAGGACTTTGCGCAGCTGGAGTGTCGTAGTTAACCTGTGTTTCTTCATCGATTTGCAGGGTAGGGGGAGACAGAGGGAATAAGAAATAAAGGGGAAAAGAGAAAAGGTCGCAGAGGTTGTATGTAGTGTGCATCCAGTTCGGGGGCAGAGTGCATTGTCATCGAACACGTGCGTGTACGCGTCAAGCATCTCAGGCAACTTGAACTTGAACAAGTCACTACTGTCCTGGCCCCTGGCCCACCGTGACCAGTGAATCTGCGACTTCTGTCCTTCCTGTAAATATTCCATGTCGCTGACAACTCTAGAATACTTCAGCTTAGAATCAATCTCCAAGTGAGCCGTATTTCACGTTTCGGGAACCTGTCTCTGACCAATGTCAGGTGGAAGAATCTTCCGCCGCCTATAGGTTTCGCAAAGCCAGTAACCGTGAGTTGCGCCCAGCCAATACCCTACTCTATGTCTCTCAATCGCCGTAGTCTAGAGCACCTTTTAAAAAGGCGGCCTCTTCTGTTGCTTCATACGATGAACTGAAGGAAAAGCGTGCTTGGGACGTGGCACTTGCCCCGGCGAAGTCTCTGCCAATGCAGGCCTTCATGCTCTACATGTCCGGCGGCGGTGTACAAATTTTCAGCATCGGCATCGTCTTTATGCTTCTTTTCACTCCATTCAAGAATATCGCGGCCATAAACGAAGGTATTATCCGAGCTGTTTCTGCCGTCACATCACACCTCTAACCCGTATTTTCTTCCCAGCTTTTGCCCAGTATGCACCGTCAACAAAGGATCCCAAATCAACAACGACCCTACCACTGCACAAACTCGTCTACGTACTTTGCAATCTACTTACTCTCGGCGTTGGTCTATGGAAGTGTCGGTCAATGGGTTTGCTGCCGACGGGGACGGGAGATTGGTTAGCGTTCGAGACGAGAGGACTAGTACGTGTTGGAACCCTTGGCCTCCGCACGTCATTGCTAACGAGTTGCGCTCCATCAGGCTCCAGAAATATCTTTATTCTGAACGCCACACCCCTACAATATAATTATGCAATTAGATATAACGTACTGGCCCGCGGAACGACATGCCCCCAATGCTATCCGCCGATCTTGTGTATGACCGAACACTAAGGCAGTTGACCGCCTCTCCAGTGCTTTGGATTGTCAAGCACCGAAAGTCTCCTGCAGGAGAGATATAGGCCACTCGGAACTCCAGCAAATTGTGACACAGCACATGCATGGCTGTCTGAGAACATGTAACGGTAAGATTCAGACTTTTGAGAATTAGCGAAGTAGAAGGAAACACATTCCAGCCCTTCGACTTTAGAGTCCACGGCAGCCCACCAATCCAGCGCGGAGAAGCTTCACAACAAATGCCCTCCGCCTCGAAACCTGATTGATGCTCGCGGACAGCTTCATGGAATCGTTCTCTTGAGCAAGACCTTCGAGCTCCTCCATCTGACGGGTTTACTTTGTTGTAAACATATCTCTATTGCAATAAGTACTGGCTCGCGATAAGGTATACTAGATCAACCTGAATCATCTTCACACACAGCAATTCTCTGCGTGGCGGTCATCCTCCTCAAAGCTCGCTTATTACCAAGGACGAGTGAAAGAGTTAATGGCAAGTCTATGCAGGGAGAAATTCTGGTGAAGGATAGGCGTAGAGTTTATATCTTGATGAAATCTAAACGCGAACCAATGGGGAGGATTCAGTACCAAAAGAAGAGAAAGAACTTGACCACCTTACTGTGCGAAGTGTATTCTGATTTGCACTAATAAATCTGACTGCGTTTGGTATGGCAGTTGCAATGGGATGATGGCATTACAATGGCGGCACAACCAACTCTGGCAGCATGAAGAAAATGAAGCATTCTTTGGAATCCCCCAAGTGACTGGCAGCTCCTCGAATTCACGCTGGTAGAGCGCGTATATCTCTTGCGGAGTCGCTGGCTGCCAGACGGACAACGCTTTCTTGGTAGTCGTTTTCTGACAATTGAAGATCTGAAAATTCGCATTAAATGCGATTCGAAAAATAGAGGGAAGGCTATCACAAACCGCTTCATTCCAATGCACCATAACCCTCGACCCGTTTCTCTTCTGGTGCACAAGGACGGGGTTGTTACAATAGAGAAAGTCAGATGTTATATGGCGCGCGTCGAGATTCAGTATCTTTAAAATTGCGGCCGCGTGTTTACTTCGAGAAGGATCGAGCATCAAGCGTCCACACCGCGCTGCCCAGGGTTGTGCCTCCAGACAGCAGAATGCATACTTCATGTCATCACTGTAATCCTGGACCGTGTACGCCGCTGAGGCATAGTCCGGGTGCCGGCACGTGTGAATAAGGACCGCAGGGTAGGCAAGAGGTAGGGTTAGACAGTCTTTGCATAAGAAGAACAAGGTCGCGTTCATGAGTGCATGGGCGGTCGGAATCCTCCCTCTGATCGGCAAAGGAACCATATCCAACAGATTTTTGCTGGTCTTACTCCACCAGCTAGTCAAAAAGTCACCACCAACCCCAGAAATAAGAGCCAACATGAGCCGCTGCGCTATCGCCCCTTCTTCCGTCTCCGTGTCATCAACAAAAGGGCAAAGGATCTTTTGTATTTCAGGGAGGACTGCGATGTCTGCGACGTTTGGCTGGATTGTGTTGAAGTTACAGCCGGGGCCGCTGAGGAAAAGCCGTTTCAGAATTCGGCAACGCTGAGCGATAACGTCTCTGCGTTGTTGCATTTCCCGCTCGTGGGTTTGTCGTTCGATGAATGCGGTGAGTTTGGGCAACAACTTCTGCCACCCTGAAAATTGATACAGGTCGTTTTGTAAGGCGCTGACACAGATATTCGTGAACGAACCTCTTGCGGTGGCTGGATTCGGATCGGTGTCACTCGATACATAGGACTTGAGGATTTTCACAGGGAGCCAAGTCAATTTTTCGGTAAATCCTGGAGAAAAACGCAGTACGGCTATTGTTTAAAACCATGAGAGAAAGGCTGCAGGACCACCAACCTCCTTCCTTTAACTTCTGGATTAGTCTGCTACAATTAGTACAAGACGAATGAGATGTGCACTTGAATGACATACAGTTCTTCGCGCTGAAGGCGGCGCTGGTTTCTACGATCCTCTCTTTCATCGGAACGAGACTGAAGGAAATCCTCGTAGATGCTAGCATTCTGTTCACGAAAGCATAAGATATCGATCATAAGTGATTGTTACCTTACTGACCCTTTCCAGTGCCGCTAAGTGGAGGGCTTTTGCAGCTAGCCAAGATTGACGCTCTTCGTCGGATTCAAGACTGTTGTACTTCGATTGCAATTCTTCCATATGACTATCCAGAATAAATTTGGCGTCGTCCCATAGAGCGGAAGGAAGACCGAGGTCACTACTGACTGCGAGAACGTCAGAACACCTCGCAAATGCGCACTCTTCCGAAGGCATTACGCACTAGGTTCTCGGTAAGGAGATATTTCCATGACTTCCAAAGAGATGTGTTCGGGTAGTCCGAGGCCCGACAAGTACTCATAGCGCGAGAACCTGAAGGGAACTTTTGGTGAGTTTATATGCCAAAGTTATGAATTACAATCGCTGACTCTTTGATGGCACAGTTGATGCAGCACCTCACTCGGGCGATGACGAATACCTGCCAAGCGTTCCTACAAAAGCAGAACTACGCAATTTAGCTGACAAGTATTTCTACTTTATAGCGGGGACTTACTTGACAATGATGATCCAGCATCATAAGTGCATAACGAAAAGGTGTGATGTCCTCAGGGCAGGGAGGTAGGCCTTCGACGCTAGACAGTACGGAGCACCATACAGGACCCGAATGGCGCCGAGGGTTGAGGAGAAGGTCGCGAAAAAATTCACAGGAAAGGGAGAGATTGCAGAGGTCGATTGGGGAGAGATGGAGGCAGATCTGTTGGAAAGGAAAGGACTGAATGAGGCCACAGTGGGCTTGCAGACGAGGTAGAGGATGTACCTCGAACAGCATGTCGTCTGGAACCGGGTTGTCCTCTTTGCATAGAATCGACAACGCGCCTTGAACGCCCCGCAATCTCTTCTTTCTCTTCTTTTTCTTGACAACCGGCGCCCTGTCAGTGGCACGGCCTGGGACCTCATCAGGTGTGGCCTGAGAGGAATGCTCTATCCGCGGCTTGCAATTGTTTGGCGCCATGGGAGGACGGCGACTTTGAGAGTAATTCGAGAAATGGGAAAGTCTGGAACAGCAAAACATTGAGTATTACTTTTTATTCCCTTGGAGGATGGTCCAACCTAGAATGTCTTTTCTAGTGAAAGGCGGCCCTTGCCTTGTGGCATGATGGAAACCCTCAGGTACGGATTGACCACTCGACAAGTTGTAACACCGTACAAACGTTGAAAGGACTTGCTTCCCGTATCGACAAAGAAACCACGTAAAGATTTTTTTGAATCCGAATGGCCCCATTTCTTCAGGTATTTGTTCAAACGACAATTTCTGTGGCTCCTCTTGTGGTAAGTATGCGGTGAAACAATCAATGCTATAGGACATCCGACAGGCCGTTAAACAAGTAACACCGACACCCAAAGGCAGGCGAAAACGGACCTTCAAGCATAAAGGAGCATGTGAACATCCTGAACTTAAAGAGCGGCAAAGGATATCATCCGGTTTCAACGAGGTACAAGAAGCGGTCAAACATGAATGAGAGAGAGAGCTGATGAAAGCGTCAGCAATTTCGGGTGTGGTGGCAGGCAAGTGGGTGAGTATAAGTATATCGGGCCGTTTTGCCGTCGCGCACTTGGCTCTCACCCCCGACTGTTTGTGGTATGTCCGTTTATCCATCTCTTCCCGGGATTCTAACTTACGACGGCGGTAGGGCACCATCTTCAAATATTGGGACCAACCATGGATGTTCTTCAGGATCCCGAATTCGAACAGCCTGAGACACTCGTCAAACAGGACGATCCAGCGAATGAGATAACAGAAGGCCCCGTCTCAAGAATTCTTACACGCGATATTCAGGACAACACTTACCATCTCGTGTTATCACTGCCCGTGGAATTGCTCGTTGAGGTATTTATCTGGGTGATAGAGACGCATAACGGCTACCGATTTCCACTGCCGGCACAACTCACCCTCGGACGGGTGTGCCGACTATGGAGGAATGTCATTTGGAGAACACCTCGCCTATGGACGCTCATATCTATTGCCGCTTCGCACACGAGGTGTTCAGCTCAAGCCAAGCTGCTCAAGGGGTGGATTGGAAGGGCACAAGGCATGCCCCTTCGTGTGCATCTCAAGACTCATCTCCTTCCCCAAGAACCATTGGAGCTGTACGACGTATTTCTGGCCTCCTCCTCCCAGTGGGCGAGTTTCAGCCTTTCGGGAGGACCATTCAAGCAATTCTGCGACCGTTTACGAATGTCCAAACCCAAGTTCGACCTTCTCGCCTCCCTTGTACTCTGCCCCTATCGCCAGTTTCTGTCGTCCTCCGCTTCTATTCAATGGCATTTTGCGGATGCACCCCAACTGCGAACGCTTCGTTCCTATGAAAATCGTGCTATCGGATTGGCACGTTTGCCCCTTCATCAAATCCATGACTTGGAGGCCAATTTCGACACAGTAGAGTGGTTGAGCCTCCTGGGTCGGTTACGATCCCTTCGGAAGTGCCGCCTCATCCTCAACTTGTCTTTTGCTCAACCCCTACCCCACGAAATTGTGCTCCCAAAGCTCACCGAACTGTGTATATGTGTAGAGCATACCAGTACCTTGGCGCCCTCGTGCATCGGATCAATCCTCAGCACCATCACCGTACCGCGCCTTCAAAGCCTCCATGTCTTGCGGTGGTACCAGCGGTTCCCGTTCTCTGATCTCGTCAACATGATTGAACGTTCTGGAAACCCGCTAACCAGGGTCTCCATAGATGTGCTCGAGTTAAGAGAAACGGACCTCTTCGACCTCCTGCAAAATTCGCCATGTCTTACAGAGCTCAGTGCGCGCCGCGGGCTGTCTCTCTCCGACAGGATCATCAACCTCCTTAACCCACAGCTGCCTAAAGCCTCCTCGATTACACAATGTCTCCAAGACTTGAAGGTGTTCAAGTATGAGGGCCGGATCGATTTCACACCGCCGTCTGTTATTTCGATGCTGAAAGCCAGGCTGCAGTATTCGCAGCTACCGACCCCTTCCTCGACAAAGCTCAACCTTCTCCAAATCCGATACACCAACACTTCGTGGACAGACGAACATGCGTCGGACGATGTCGAAGGTCTCTTGCTGGAAGCAGCATCTCTAAAGCAATTTGGGACTGAGGTTGTTATCAAGTCAAGAAAAAACTTCAGTAACAGGAATCTGTATTGACGAAGCTCGACCTCCTTGCTGCGAGTTGAATGTTTCAATGACAAGTTGGGACGAGGACAGGACTCAAACGACCGTCAGTCACTTTACATGCAAGTCGCAGCTCTGAAACAATTGGGAATGGAGGTGCATATACGTTGGGTCAAGGAGCAAGCTTTTATTAAAATGCATTAGAATACGCACCAGTTTTAATTTATTAAATTCAGCCAGAGAAGCGTGAAGCGACGAAATTGGCCAATATTATTACTGTGCATCGACTGCCCTAGATGGTTACTTTCAAAGCGAACGGCGAAGTCCTTCATGGTGGTTCGAAGTGTATCATGGGCCGGTGAAAGACTCTATAGTTGGGCAAGTAATCGGCATTCGAAAATATAATTCTTCAGAGAGAAAGAGCTATATACAGCGAGCTAAACGTACACTCATGTCTAACCCTCATCCTAATATTGCGGAGCCTGCTGAGGTACTGAACCTGGAGGGAACGGGCTTCCAAAGCCAGGGGGTGGCGGTGGCGGGTACGCGCCGTACATCTGCATTCCAGGAGGCGGATGCTGCATTCCCATCGGAGGCATGCCCATGGGCGACGGCATCATCCCAGGCGGGGCCATCGGCATACCCATGGGAGCCATGACCGTCTGCTGGGGTGTGAACCCGACAGGCGGAGGCGGTGGGGCAGGTGGGGCAGCCAGTGCACCGGCAAACTGCCCTTGGTAGGGCCCTTGGAAGCCGGGCATGGGCGGTCGGGTCCCAAATGTGATTGGAGCGGGGGGAGGACGTGCTGTGACGGGCAGGGCGTTGTTCTTGCGCGCCTGTGCTGCCAGGAGACGCTCAGCAGGTGTTCCATGCCGCTCCCCCTTGCCGTCTTTCTTGAATGCGTATTGGACGGTGATGGCTTTGTTCATCAGGAATTGGCCGTTCATTGACTCGATGGCGGCGTCAGATGCTTCAAAGTCGGTGTAAGATACGAAGCCATAGCCTTTGGAGGCTCCTGTGCTCGGGTCGCGGGCAATCTGGTAGGGGAAGGATGTAAGCTGGGAACGAGGAGAATGAGAAAGCAAACGCACCTTGGCCGTTGTCGTCATCAAACCGAACGCACTGAAGGTATCATATAGTAGCCTTTCGTCCACGTTTTCGTCCAGATTTCCGATGAAGAGGTTGGCTCCAACGTCAAGTTGTTTTTTGTCAGATGATGCCTGCAGGAGAGTGCGTAAATACTCCACTCAGAACCAAGGAATTCCTCCCAACAGCTCATGAAGAACAGCAGACTGAACCTGTAGACGAACCTTGTTAACCCTGATGGGCTTGCCCCATAGTTTAATTTGATTCATAATCTTACATGCATATTCTGCATCCTCTTCGGTCAAGAACTCGCAGAAGCCGTAGCCCTGGTGGGCCATGGATATCCGGTCTTTGGGCAGGTGAACATTGACTGTGAACCGAGGTGTCAAACGAATGAATAACAAGAGTATGGGACGAAAACACACCAACGGGGCCCGCTTGCAGCATCAACTCCCAAACCAGCGCGTCTGTACACCGTTCGTCGAGGTTTCCCTGCCGGTTATGAATGAGTTCCAGGACACGAGTTAGTTTCATATGGTGCAACATACCAGATACACTGTTGCCTCCTGGTTACGGTCGTCTTGAGGGCGGGACATGTTTGAGCGAGCAGAGGACAGTGACGCCAAACTTCAACGTCGCCTTCAGGATTTTGGACTACATATTTGTCTATGTTGTGTTTCGGTGACGTAGCCCTTCCGGCCCAGACCGCTGCGAATACTCTTGATCCTCACCCAATCCTCACCGTGCGGCTGGAGATTCTGCTCACTGTCATCCTCATTGTCATCCTCACTGAGTTGCGCCTCCATGTCAGCCACACGGAAATTCACAAATCGGTCTATTGCAGGACGCGTTCGAAAAGCGTTCAATGTCAGCCATCTCTCGGGCTATAAGAACAGGGCTCTGTCGACTTCTGAAGCCTCGCTCTGTGGTGTAGTCCCTCTACCGCCTCATAGCTTCGACCAGTCCACACATTTCTACCACACAATCTCTTACAGTCTCTACTTCGCATCGTCTCTACCAACATCTACAGCCTACCACTACCCTCTTTTATCTCGGCGCAACCATGCACACCACATTCTCCCGCCTCTTCGTTCTCATCTCCCTCTGCTCGCTCCTTGTGTCAGCCGCCACCCAGCCCAGCTTCCGTCTGCGTGGTCTCGAGACTGGAACCCGCACCGTCAGTGCCGTCAATAGCCGAAATCTCAAGCAGTACGACCCACGCTCCCCTGCTGCTATCGAGCGCCGTCGCCGCCGTGCTCTGGGCATCTATCCTCGTCAGTCTGCGGCCCCAGACGACTCTGTCGGGGCCCAGTCGTTCGATGGGGGTTCCGACACCGCGCAGCCCGCCGACAATCAAAGTAGCTCCCCCTCCGTCCTCGGCTCGGTCCCTGACACTCTTTCGGCTGTCGGTGGCATTGTTCTGGGCGCCAACTTGAATGGACAAGATTTGACCTCTTCCCTTCCCGTCTCAGGCACGATCCTTGGTTCAGGTTCCAGCATCGTTTCTGCTCCTGGTAGCGAGGTTCTACCTGCCGCTTCTGACACTGTCTCCGGAGCCACTTCAGGTTCTGTGACCGATGCAGGCTCCAGTCTCAACTCCGCCGTGTCCAACGCCGCTACTAATAGTGTTCCTAACATCGTCTCCGGCAGCAGCAGCGGGAGTGGGAACGGGAACATAGTTGCTCCTATAGGAACTGCGTCGGGATCTGGTTCTGGAAGCGGGTCGGCCTCTCTTTGAAGCAAAGGAGCCATGGTATGTTTGTCTTTTCGTTGGGATACGATCATTCAATAGAGCTGACCTTGGACCCATAGGCACACTCGCTTCTCTTGATTGAAGAAGCTTAAAGGCGTTCGACCTTGTTTGCGTCTTTTAGTCCCGTTTCGTCTAGATAGCTTGGTTTTCATTACCCACCCTTTTTCCCCTTTCGTTCGCCCCCTTTTACTTATCACTTCGCCCCTTATCCCATAATATTTCGTTTACCTCTTCGTCTTCCATCCTATTTTCAATTTTACGACGTGCACCATTTATGTGACGACCATGTTCGAGATCATGTGTATATGCGCCTTCAAGCAATTTATGACTTTCCATTTTCAAATTTCTCGTCCATGCTCGAGTGATGAATACTGACTGGAGCAGAATGAATCTCCCAAACCATGGCGGCTGCTGTCACTGACGTCACGCTGCGCCGTCTTTGCGTTTTGCGACCATCATGAACATTGAACATGATCAAGACAGACTGCAGGCTTTCTCGAAACGCAATATTCAGCCGCTCAAAATTTAGGCCGTTGACGAAATAACGATTCCGACGTAGTCATCCGCCAGGATGGGCTAAAACACAGACCTCGAATTTCTGTCAGCCACCTCGAGCCATATAAGAGACGGATCACTCGACCGTCGTTCCCCAGTGTTGCTTCCTCGCGCACCCACCACTCGTTTCCGTTTTGCACACTGCTATCGTCTACGACCTCTCACCCGTATACTCCACTCTACCCTACCTACCCGGAAGTCCCCTCTCAATCATGCTCCCACCAGGTTTCTCGCGTCTCTTCGTGCTCGTCTCTATCTGCTCTCTCGTCCTCTCTGCCTCCTCTACGCCGACCGGCCTTGGGACTGGCACTGGGGCGAATACCGCGCGCGCCATCTCCAGCAGGCCCGTATCGACTGGGAGCCTGAAGCAGTTTAACCCGCATGATCCCGTTGCTAACGAGCGTCGCCGACGGCGCGAGCTGTACGCTGGGTATGCTAGGTCCCCACTCCCTGGAACCTCTGGACAGTCGGCGGACGCGAACGCGTCAGCTACGAACTTGAACTCGAACAGCGCCGACGGTGACGCTACAACTTTCACGATCGACGATGGGGCGAACCTCAACTCGCCCGGCCCCGATACTAGTCTCCTTCCTGGGACAGCGCCGACGGTCCCAGCTTCTGGTTCTTCAAGTGGTGGAATTGGAGTGCCTTTGGTTGTGTCGGTCACACCTGCGGGCCTGATTGTAGGCACTGGAGCTGCAAATGTCAACGCGGCCCTCCCTGTTCCTGGTCCCGCTGGCGCTAGTAACCCCGTGCCGGGCACAGGCTCGGGGTCAACGTCAAGCTCAAGTTCAGCTAGGGGAAGTGGCACCCCTGGGGTGGACGGCAGCGCCCTCATCAACACCATCAGTATTATTGCAGGCGGCGGTACTTCTAATACTTCCAGCACCGGAAGTACCAATCCCTCGACCAGCAACATCACTGGCAGTGGTACCGCAACTGTCGACGGGATTGTCTCCAACCTTTCCAGCGCCCTCAGCGGAATAGCCGACGACCACGTGAATGGCGTTTTTGGCACCCTGGCTGGTACGCTCTCAGGCGAAGTTGCGACGAGCGCCGTGACGACACCCAGCTTGAACGTGCCAACGTCCGGGAACCAGGCGGTCCCAAACATCTCTACTGGTGCAGGGAAGGGTGCCTCCAACGTCCCCTCCGATGTCGCTTCCGGTTCTGGGTCTCAGAGCGTAGATCCTAGCACCACTGTGGCCAATATCGATATCAATGGGACTCTGAACGGGAACGCCCCGTCTGCTCCTAGCGTTTCCGGTACACTTCCTCTCACGGACACCATCGCCGCGGCCGTCAACAACACCGCCTCTACAGTCGGCGCTAGCACCGCGAGTGGAGGCGTCAACAACGTCGCAGGAAGCGTCAATGCAACCGCGAGCGACGTAGGCTCTGACGCGGGCACTGTGAACTTGGTCTCTGGCACTATCGTCTCGACTGTCTCCGATTTCTCAAGCCCATCCAGAAATGTGTCGTCCCCTGGGTTGAGCAGCGCGGCAAGCGTCGCCGGCGCAGCGGGCACCCAAAGTGCGTCGAGCGGCCCCTCGTCTTCAACTTCAAGCTCGTCTTCAACTTCAAGCTCGTCTTCCAACTCATCATCCAGCTCATCATCCGGCTCGTCGTCTGGCTCGTCATCCAGCTCGTCCAGCTCAGGCTCGTCATCCAGCTCAAGCGCATCTTCCAGCTCATCTTCCAGCTCAAGCAGTAATCCACAGAGCGCAACTGGGGGTGTCAGCGCGTCTGGGGCTGCGGGCGGTGCTTTGAACGCGGCCACTACGAACATCTCTGGGGCGGCCGACAGCTTGGGTTTGGCGGGCGCGGGCGTTAGCTCGCTCGTTCTGCCCATTGTCCCAAGTCCCCTTCCAAGCTTAAATCCGTTGGACATTGTAAACCTCGATTCTACGTCAGCGCTGAGCACCTTAGAAAATGGCCTTTCCAAAACAAAGAACGTCTCGAGACGCGCGGCGTTGCGCGGACAATACCAGAAGCGGCTTCCAAGGTCATAAAATGGTATGTGTGCGCTTTTTCTCTTTTCTTTGTCTTTGGTTTGGACTGACTTGGGTTCGTCTGTTGTAGACTCGGTACTTTCGCGTTCGTTTGGTCCATTGATGATGAGTTCACGATTAACACGACTTTCTTTTCGTCTTCCATTTGGTTTCTGTTTTTTTTTTCTCCCTATTTTATCGTCGTTGGGCGAACGTACATTCGCATTCTTTTTTCACGCCTTTCGTTTATGACCTTCGTTTCTTTTCTTAACGTTCTCTCATTCCTTTCCCTTTCCCCCTTTCGTTCATTTCGACCACATCCCTTTTGCCTTCGACCATACCCTTTTTGCCTTTTACCTTTTACCCTTCCTTTGAGTTACGATTTTATGACAAAAAAGCGATATTTTTAGTGTACAGTACTTTATGTGAAAACGTGTAAACGGCACCCTCTAGAATACATGAGTTGCTCCGTTATACGAAGACCTTCGTGTGCCTGTTTTCTCTTCGTAGGAGAAGACGCGAAGGATGGGCGGGCCGAGGGACCGTGATGACATCATTTTGTCGAAAAGGAGCTATCAAATCAACATGACTTCAGCGCACGCGCCAGCTCCCTTCTCTCACTCGATTTTCCCAACACCCCCTGTCCAGTGCCCGGATCGATGGCCACCCCTCTCCGTGGTATAACTTCAACGTTTCTCAACAGCCTCAAGGCTCTCTTCCCCGGAAACGCGTCTCGGACGCTTGCCTCCAGCAGCTCGTCGCAGACATCCGATACCCTGTCGCAGCCACCCGATATCCCATCGCAGCCGTCCGGTACGCGTCAATTCCCTATTTCTTCGTCTACTCAACCGGTTGGCTCATGAAAACTGCGTAGAGTATATACGTGAAGGACTCCGGAACCCATGGTACATCCCCGCCGCTGTCGCTTTTAGCGCGTCGAATCGCCCGGAAGGCGTGCGTAGGGTGTTCGAGCATGTGTCGGCGGATTTGCGGTCGACGAACGCCAGTGGAAGCCCGGGTAAAAGCGGTGGGAAGGAGGAGGAGGAGAGGCTGCTAGCGCGCAAGATGCGCGAGGCGCTGTTCAAGTCGGGCCTTATCTGCGGGTACCCGCGGGCGATTAATGGGCTGAAGGCCCTATACGAAGTCATGCCCGAAGAGCTGAAGGAGGAAGGGCTATTGAGGTGTGTTCTCTGCTTTTGGGCTGCATACGCGGTGGATTCGTGTCAATGGGCTGACGCTGGGCTTGAGCTCGTAGGGATCCAAACATGTCGTTAAGGGACTATGAGGAAGCGGGTAATGCGTTTTTCAAGACTGTGTATGGAGAGAAGGCGGAGGAGGTGATGGCGATGTTGGATGTGGTGTATCCTGACATGGGTGCGTCTCTCTTATCCACTCCGCTCTCCTCTTCCTCCCACCCAGGTTCTTCCTTCAACACATAGTCCAACTTATGAACACTTTCCCAATTTACACCCCCTTTAAATCCAGGCTGGTTCTCAAGAACGATAGGCTACGGCCTCGTATACCGCCCAAACGCCACACAGACGCCCATACTCTCCCCGGTGGAGACGTCTTACACCCTCGTCGCGGCGCTCATCGCGATGGACACGCCGCAGCAGATCGCGTGGCATTTGGATGGGGCACGCAGGGGCGGAGCGAGTGTGGAGGAGGTGAGCGCGGTGAGGGAGGTTAGTGAGAGGATCGTTAGGGCGGTGAGGGAGGGAGGTGAGTTGTCGTCGTGAGCGAAGAGCATGAGGGATGGTTCTCTTGCGTCGGCAGAGACAAATCGAGTAGGCGACATTCTGGGGCCGTACATTTATAAATGTCCAGTGACAATGCCAGGCGGGGCGGCGGTCAAGTGGGAGTGGTCCAATGGGCAGGGACGGAGGTATGAGGCTGTATGCATATGAGGCGCATGACGATGGCGGAAGCCTGAAGGCGTTCGATCCGGCCCGGTAAGTGTAACGAAGAGGGTGCCGTCGGAAATTTCCACAAATTATGCTTGTGTTGACGATACCCTCGTTATGTTCATCATCTAGACTACTTAAGGCTGTTGAGGGCTGAGGCTGAGCTCCAAAACCCCTCGATTCGCAAACTTGAAAAGCCACGGTGGACGAGTCGAGTTGAGCACCAGCTAAAGTACAGTTACGGTGAAATTTTCCAAGTACGTTTTGACGGAAAGAAGGCAGGAAGCCGGCATCTGCTGGCTCTGTATTGTAAAGGCCGTTGTCGCTTGTACCGAGAGGAGAGGAAAGAACTGGGAAGTTGGAATGGATTGCCCGAGGTATACAAGCTCCCTTGATATGGTACGTACTACTCCATCAGGCGGGACTCAATTATTCACCCGAGTAGGTGTGTCTGACCCACAGCGCTGCCTGTGTGGTCTCCTGTCCTGGCTTGTATAGGATTCTATGTCCAGGCCTCGGTGGGTCCATATTCAGCGCGAGACGTATGGTGTGGAGGTGCTGTAAGGTGGAAAGAGGCTTCAACTGGTCCTAAGAAGCCAGGATAATTAGAGTCTACTCGAAGAACGAAGATGAAAGACGTACGAAACCGAGTAGCAATAGGGTAGGGTCGAGAGATACTTCACGCAAATTTGGCAGCTGCTTGACGATTTCTGTCAAACACATTGAGGAGATTCCATAGAAAAATCGAGAAGGAGTCGCCCTTGATATCGGGTCCTGCTGGAAGGGGATCATATGCAGGATCTCAAGAGAGGGTGGCAAGAAGATCTCGCTCGTGGATCCATCCCAAGTTTCGTTCCTGTACGCATCCAAACGGCGCACATTGGGACAGGATCGAAGGAATTGTGCCGCAGAATGCGCGAGGCATGCATTTCTAACTTGCGGGTAGCTGTATTTTCCAAATAACTCATCGAGGAATTGACGGCCATCAAAGTCCAGCGGAAAGTCCAACGCGAATGCAAGTTGCACGGTGTGGAGATTTGGGAGAAGGGCGGACAAGTTCCCTGAGAACTGTTTTTGTGGAGTATTCGAGGACAGAGACGTTCAGAACGCTTTCCACTGGTGTCAATTCAAGACGGCCGGATAAACAGAGGACGGAACGCACTTGACGTGGAAAGCGAGACTAGGCTCTCGAATCGTGACTGTCTCGAGCCGTCCAATGAGCACCTCTGCATGCCTCTTGAGAGCCCAGTCCGCCGGAGGGCAACAAGGATGTGGCTGGTACTGCGCCATAATAGCACCATAGGCCTCCCTAATCTCGATGGAGTCGTAGAGTTCGATTCGTTGCCAGAGATAGCGCAGGAAAACCCGGCGGAGGGTCCTGCAGGTCTGCGTCAACGCTAGAAGGGCCTGGCGCCTGTCACGGCCATGGCGGGACTCGTCGTCGATTGAGTGCGTTTGGAGAGTGGGTATAGGCATTGAGGGTAGATGAAAGACGGATCTCGAGGTAGATTTCGGCTGGGAGTGCGGGAAGCCCGCTTGTGTTGACTGGCGCGTCACTCCGGCTGGACGAAAGTTCTTGTCTAGAAGCAGCTTTGGTGCGGGTTATTGGGGCCATTGTGGGTATGTATTGAGGGTGGATTTGCGACGAAGGGGTTGTGGAGGTTTTGGTCAAGGAGGTTCATCAGCCATCAATTGATGCGGTCATTGAAATGACCGCATCGTGCCGTCGCGCATTTAGCTTGGTGAATCCGGCCGTCCGAATCCTTGTTTTAGCGCTCGTCTTCAAGCGTTCAACCGCCAGCGAGAGAGGGGAGAGAAAGGATGACGGGAACTGTCTGTGATCAAAGACAAAGACAAATCGTGCAAACGAAGTACGAGAGTAACAAAGAGTCGGGGGATCGTCTTCTAGAATGTCAAACGACGAAAACTTGTGAACTTGAGAATACCTCCGTATCTCACTTGAGTGACTCGAAAGCCGTGTATTAGGATCCTTTGTATTCTCACTGAGGAATGGAAGTCCGATAAGCTATGTTTCGAGAAAGAAAACCGTTTTTGGCGAATGGAGGCTTTGAGCTGCTGGAACCCCTGGCGGGAGCGAGTCCCGAGTCGGGGAGGCTCAGGGAAAGCATCCGTCGGCTCTATTCCGCCGGGCGGCGATCACTTTCGTGACGGTCACTTGTGACGACGCGTACACGCGTGCGAGCGCGTTGATTGATGACGCGCGCGTACCACGCTCTCACGCGACGTCGACGCTCTTGTTCTTTGAGGAGCGCGCTGGCAAGAGACAACACTCGCAGTGATAAGGACGTACGTTAGGAAGCACTGTTGGTGACGACGCCCTTTTGTTGTTCCCAGCGCGTGCGGGAGAGGACAATTGGGCTTGTGGCGCCTAATGGGGGCGTGGGGGAACGAGGCGGTTGTCGAGGGGAAGAGATGGGGTGCCGGTGCATACATTGTGCGTCGGATGGCAGGCGGTGTATACGTGTGTGTGTCGGGATAAGTGGAGGGAGTGACGGTGGAGGTTCCGCAGATCAAGGGTTAGCACGTGACGTCTGGAGAGGGCAGCATTCGGGGTTTGGCTGCTTGTCTGCTTCCCTCCACCACCACCCATGGACCCCTTCACTCCAGACGACGCTGGGCCACTCCCCGCCTACGACCTCGCCGCCCTCTTTGGCCTACAGGGCCCGCTGCGCCTCGTCCCCCAGGGCGTCGCTCCCAAGGCCCACATCCTCCTCAGGCGCGAATCCCCCCGCGACGACGACGACGCCTCCTCCCCTTACATCGCCCGCTTCTCCTTTGTCGCCAACAAGCGCTTCCAGGCGTCCAAGGGCCAGACGCTGCTCCTTTCCATCCTCGACCCCGCCGCCACCGACGCCCGCGACGCCGCCCTCCTCTGCGCCGACAACACCGTCCTGCTCGAAGCCGACCTCCCACCCGACCCGCACCCCGACATGCGCGCAGAGGAGGGCGACGACCGCGCCCACCGCGGGCTCGAGTGCATCGAGGCGCTGCCCCCAAAGATGCGCAAGAGCCTCATGGGCAAGAGGTCCT